AGCCATAATCCGGGAACATTGTTGTCCCCATTTGTAGAGGCCGTCTCCTGGAACCGACTGATGGAATGCAGCACATGCATTGGTTCATGTTCGGGCAGAGTAAACCGGTCCTGAAGTTGAGAAGAGAAAGCATCGAAATCAGATGCAGTAATTGAAAGGCACACACCCTCAGAAGCGTTCAAATCTAGAAAAAATCACGCGCAGTTTCCAAGACGCACGCGCAAAAGGTAAGATGAACTAATGCACACAGCATCACATGAAAAAGCCAGCGGAAGAAGAACCACAAAAGAGACAAACAGAGAACATGAGCTACCAAATGCAATTTTTCATTGCAATCGACAATAAAGTATGATATGGAAACGTATACGACACCAGAATGTGGAAAATTACGCGCACTGAACATCTCTGATTCCAGGTAAGTAATACAAAACACAGCCACAATGTTGCTGATAAGACTGGCGTCAGCCGATGAAAGAGCCGTTTTTCGTTTGAACAAATCGTGTAGAACTACATTTTCTATGACTAACTACGATTTGATCGATTTCAAATCCAATAATCCAACACTGCCTGGGTGCAGTGGTCAATGCAACTGCACAGTTAGTGTAGGTGTAACCTACCGGAGGTGTTCCTAGGCCACGAATAGGAAAACAACCGCGGATAAGGAGTTAGTGGCTTCAGCAGAGGACGTTGTCTTTTCGCTTTCCTTGCAACATAACACCACACGTGTCCGTGAAGCATCGTGACAAGGATAAGTATGGCCCGCTACAAATCCGGGTACTACCATCATCTTAGTGCTCTGAAAGCAGTATTATTTGGTTAAGCAAGGGATAGAGACGTATCCTCGAGTGACACTGAAGATGGCAATTTATGCTGTATTTTCAAGATTCCTTATGGATTCGATCATGCCCCTAATTCAACCTCATCCAAAAGCAAGCCATTTAATTATGAATCGATCCTGATACGCATTATCTATGTTTTCCCCTATTGATAAAAATCAATCGGTTTATGAGGCAATCGATCACTGTGCATTGAAACTGGTCAGAAGTAGCTTCTGGGTTCATTTACCGTCACCTACGTTCCTTAATGCTGTGGTAGATGATAGCTGCCACAAACGAAGAATGAACGGACGTGTCAATTCTAATCTAACGGGCACCATCGATTCACACACTCACCATTCAGCGAGTGTCCTTTGTACACAAGAATCCTGGCTCGACTGGAATGTTGAGGTCTCATTGTTTGGAATTAATGGTTTGAAGTGCTTCTGTGAGGACAGAAAGTACTGTAAGAAGAAAACAGGAGGTTGAGTGATTACCTACACCAACGTTTCTTGGAGTGATAAGTCCGAAGCTTTTTTACCATTCCGCCGATGGCACCGACTGTTTAACCATCCCATGTTCCCATAGAGTTTCACGATATAGAAGATCCATCATAACCAATTGATAGCTCCCTTTTGTACCCAGTCTCACATTTTATCCTTTGAAGAAATTGTACTATCTTTCGTTTGCTTGTTAGACGACAGCCTTCACAGTATGGTGGCGAAATAGCGTCTCCATCGTGGAAATCATTCAGAAGACACAAGGAACGATCATACAAGTTTAGAGATTCAGAGACTGTCAAGTATTATTCCAACCTGATCAACGCTGAAATCAAAAGCCTATCTGTAACGTACGCCTTCCAGCTTCTGTAATGTAACAATAGTAAGCAAATTTGGCAAGCGATCAAACTGCTTTGGGGAACCAAAGCAGAAACCCCGGATTGTACAATGGATTGGGACAGTATTCACGCAGGGTTTACTCGTCCATCAAGCGGTTTCATCAAACCATTTGTTCTGGATGATGTCATTTCGAATGAAGGAACTTTCGAGCTTTTGCGCGTTACATTCAGTGTTGATTCCGATGGTTTTTCATCTTCACTTCTGAGATATTGAGCCTACTCTCTGTGAAATATTAGCATCATTTTAAACACTTCGTTAGACAACTGCTCCATACCAGACTGTTGGAAACGGGTAACAACTGTTCGCATTCCCGAATCCGCCAACTCAACATTTCTAACTAAACACGTTAGCTTCTATTGGTCTGAAAACTAGCAGCAAGTGTTGTCCCCATAGACATTTAGTCCGCTTATGATGTCCAGTACGATCCTTTTCAGTTTACCCACTAACCAAACAAGCTAGATGCAGTCTACTAAACCGCACATAAAGTTGCCTAATTCCTTGAATGACTGCGAAATCTGTGTTTTATTTCTGGACTACTCATCTGCTTCTGATTTCATGTCTAATCCTCTTCTTCGTAAACTAGAGACCTTCGATTGTCTCAGGCAGTTATTAGCTTGGTTTGCTGATTACTTCGGGGAAATCAATGCATCACGCTAGGTGGAAGAAAGTACAAAAAATCGGTCAACAACGCCGAGGTACAGTTCATTACGTCATTAACGTCATCACGTTCTTCCTTCTCATATGAACCGCTATCAATAGGCTCTCAACCAATAACCCAAAGTAAGCTGTATCAAACACCTGGAGGTTTTATGGATGTAATTTTCATTGAGCCTCTCATCACTGAACTTCAACGACTTTCTTCCCATATCCATAAACTTCGCCAGTTTCGAATTCAACAAACGATTATCTCCAAATTCTATTATTAATGTGTTTTCTCCGTTTTATTTTATTGTTGTTGCTGTTGTTTCTTCCAATTTCCTAAAGAAAGACTTTAAACTGCTTCCACATAAATTGACCAACATTAGCTGGGTCTCTTCAATACCGCTGGAGGAGTGGATGTCTAACCTAGGCGAACATTATTTGAATGTATGTGAAAAGTTTGCACATTAGTCGCTTATGGATTCCACACATTCACTGCACACAAATTTAATTTCTTTGCAGCCACAGATTGCTGGAGTTCTCAAACTTATTTTTCGAATCTACTTTCATCCCTCCTGTCTTTCTCCTACTTACTGTTCGTCCAAATGGGAAGCCAAAAGACAGCAACCAAAACCGATGCACGAAAGTGCATGGTTAACGGTTGAAACAAACTGAAACACAAATTCGATTTCCCATCGTTCCCATCCGTCAACTAGATCCCAATGTTGTTATGTTCCTTCTCGTATAAACACATATCGTAACTCAAAGGTACCCTTTCTGGTACGTATCCTAGATATTAAGGAATAGATTTTCACAGATTCGGGACTTCACTTTGTTTCCGTCCCTCTCTTTCTCTGTAATATGTACAATTTTGATTGAAATGTAGGCTTTACGCTTGCAGAAGTTATAAATACAGAACAGCACAATACGAGACAATACAAGTACAAGTTGAAATCGAATGAGCTGATATAATTTGGTAGGCGTGAGCAAAGTATCATGATGCGAGCCAAGTGAAAAATATCTTTCCTTAACACGAACTTATGAACAATGAATAGGTTTCTCGGTGAGAAGTACATACTGAAGAACAAACAACAACGAGCAAATGACAATCGATTGGAGCAGTGAGATGAGCCAACCACACACACACACACACACAGGGAGAGAGAGAAACACGCCACGAGGAAAGCTAGGTAGAATCGGGGGTCAAACCCGACAAGGGAGAGAAAGATGATAAGCCGAAAACGACGTTGACTGCTTACGTGAGACGAATCGCTGTTTTCAATAGGCTGCATGTTTGTGTGTGTGTGCGTGTGCAGTTGTGATTGAGTTAGTGAATGATATAAAGGGACAACTGGTCATATAGGAAAATACGCAAAGTATAAAAGGTCACCCCCACACCACTCAAAAAAACAAAATGGATTAGCCCCCCCCCGGGTAGGTAAATAGAGAAAGAAGCTTGATTTTTCTGTCTTCACTGATTCGTGACTGTAAACTGAGAGCAGTGGAGAAAATGGTATCCCCATGTGTGAGCGACCCGTTCGATAGGTTAGTAATAGATCGCAATTTTGGCAGTATCAGCCAGTAATCGCGTTTGGGTATCAAAATTGGCAACGCATTGAACACCAAATTTTTCAACAAATACATGGTTTTTGTGTCCCTTTTCAAAGCTGGTGGAACAAAATTCGAGTGGCTATCTCTTACGACGATACCTGAACAAACTTGTATCAATACTTGTGCCACACAGCTTGCAAACTGGTGATAAACAAGTTCCATGCGAGGAGTCCCAAGTTCAAATCTCAGACGGGGCAGTGGATACTCCAGACGATCGTTCTATCAAAAGAGAAAACTCAAGTCTAGTCGAGATGAGCTGAGCATTGTGCCTAAAGGTAAAATCTAAACGACGATCAGTAAAGCTGAAAATAGGTGTTAGGTAGAAAAATCGCAACTCCCTCAAGAGAAATATTAGGAATGAAAAACAGTAATTATGACATATATATATCATGCTTATTTTATGGTGACTACATTTTTGTCCCCATCAGGCTTTACGATACGTGAATTTACTACGTTGCATTTCACTAACAACGCTTTCGAGAATGCACTACACCAATGTAAACTAAACGCCGACGTCTCGATAGGTCAAGGAAGGAGAAAAGTGCAGCATGAAAGAGCCACACGGGGGGAAGCCCCAGGATGTGATACACAAACGCTTGCAGTTTGAGAAGGGACGATGGGGAGAGTTAGGAACACGTTTTAAGGATCAAGAATTGTGGCAATCCCATCGCGAAAATAAGCGGTGTGTGTAGGAACAGATAAGATATATAGACGGTAGGCAATAGAGAAGGCATTTGGAGTTATTATGGCATACAATTTTGAATCCTCAAAGCGGAAATTGTTAGGATGTGGCAAACCAGTGATCATGGAACAACTGTGCTACCGTAAAAGGTTGAAAGTCACGTTCTTCACACTTTTGATACATTAGGGATTATTTACAGGCCAATAGGTAAGTCGTAATGAGCCTACACCAGTGCGTGAGACTCTTCTATTGACGTACTTATTCTGCATATAGTCTAGTGAGGACGAGCTTTTTACCATCTGTGATCAACGCGCTGCTAAATAAGAATTCTCGATGTGTGAAGGAGTCGATGTAGTCCAAATATAGCTACCGAATATGGTTGTATTAATCAACGATGGATTCAAGCGTTTTGTCGCATTTCATTGGCGCAGATGGTCTGTCTTTTTTGGCTGAAATGTAAGCAAATAGGAACCGGGGACAGAAAACTGCAAAGTTGCATGATGTATTGGGGGAACAAACTTTTCCTATCGGCCCAGAATGAGTTTTCATCGCTGAACCGTCCTCGGGTACTACTCGTGAAGGCGATAGGGATCGAAAGATGGAAACCCATCCAAGGCTATGCTGTCATTTGGTTGGTTGAATGTACAGTGTAGCCGTCAAATACAGGACACAGTAAACTAACCGTTAAAAACAATATGTCACTGTTATCTGTACAATAGTCACGAGTATAAATGCACACGCACATGCACAGAACGAAGAGCTTTGCTGTTTGGGTAGCAGAGTTACATTGGAACTAAACTGTAAAAATGAAATTCCGGTCGGTTCCGTTTGAGATGTGATCATTGGGGCCGCAGAATCGACGGTTACACGGTGAATTGGCGCTTTATGAGTCGACTAATCGTCAGGCACTTTGGGATCAATCATCCATCTTACAACATCACGATGTGTTGAATGTTCACCGTTAAAATTTCATTGGTATGACCTAGTGGGACAAAACCGCCAATGAAAAAAGGTCAAACTGCGCAAGAGTGTACAAGGCATTGTGTTTAACTGCTCAGTGCTGTCGGGTATGAGAAGATCACTAAGCCATGAGCTCCTTGCTACGACTCACTTGTGCACTCTGGACCGAACGACCTACTGATTTCTTGTACTCACCCAGTGAAGCGATTTTCACCGACCCGAGAGGAGGAGAATGAGGAAGGGTTTAGGGGGTTTGATGATTCATTGGTAGCTAACTCGAGTTTGCAGGAGTTGGAAAACTGTTCGGCGACTGTGCATGAATAGGCCCCGAACTACACTTCCAAGACATCATGGGCGGAATGGTCAGTGGTTCGATCGCGTGTCGGATGGAACCAATCNCAATATTGCGTAGTGTACGTTGTTCAGTCGAGAACCCGCCAGGGGAGAAGTTTTTCATATTAATTAGTGACTTGTCACCAGTGTTTTACTTGCACTGTCTTACATACAGTTACGTGGAGAGCTGATTTGAACAAAACGTAAGAGAGAAAGCGTCCTCTTATTAGTGATGGATGTAACTGGGTGTCCGAAAACAAAACGACCTCGATATGGGCTAAGATGAATTAGGTTGGGCTAAATAAACAAACTGCAGTAGACAAACAGTTGTTGTTTAGCGGAAACCATCAGAATTTTCTTGCAACGTTTTTTTTCAACACAAATCATATATACAAAGTGCGCACACGAGAAGGTGGTATTCGTTAGGATAAAGAAGCAGACCAGGGAAGGGAAACTAAACAGTAAAAACGAAACATAGATTTTTACACTTACCCCTTTCAGAACGGATGGGTGTCCTTCCTCAGCGATTAGACGTTCTGCAATGCGCTTCAGTGTCAGACCCAAACGCTCTGGTAAATCGGGTGAATCCAGTAGCTGAGAGTTGACAGAGAGAGAGCAATAGGGAATAGATGAGCAGGATCTATTCGTGACAACGAGCGGGAATGAATCACATGATCCCATACACTTGGCAATGNTGGCAATGTCATGCCGGCTTACTGAAAACGCATTAATGATATGAAGTGAAAAACACGAGGATGTTGCGTGGTGAACAGTTCAGTTGTTACAACCATCAACCATACACATTCGTGCGCCGGTTTTGGTGCCCCATTTGGATAAAACAGCAGAAGGTAGGTTGGAATATTGAGAGCATTTCAAGCGGAAGACAGAGAATTGATATAGGCTGGTGTTAGGAAAATAATGAGTAAATGCATGAGTGCCATTGTTTGCGACAACCAGCCATATCACTCAGTGTCTTGAGCCATCGGTGACAATGATCGCAGGCTCCTCAGCCAGGGAACCTAACGAGGTCTATATGACAGAGTCTTTTGGTTAGAGTTTTCATACCCTCGTGCCAGGTCTTAGCCCTTCATTTTTTCCCAACCGTTACCTGCCTCAGCAAACATTGCTCGCCGTGGTAACCTACCTGGTGACATGCGTAGCACATGCCCCAGCCAGCGTAATCTATGAAGGTTGACTGCTTGCTCCATTAGACGACCGCGATTACCTAAAACTCTACGCCCAACCTCAGCATTGCTCGTTGTGTTAACCCACTGGATTCGTGCAATGCGACATAGACAGCGGTATTTGAACACCGACAATCTATTTTTACCATGTTCCTGTAGTGGCCAAGTCATTGCACCGTAGAGCAGCACTGGCCAAACTTCTGCACCATATACTAGACCCTTCACGACCTGTCGCTTTCTTGTAAATCGGTATGATCAGCGATTCACGCCATTCAGTTGGAACCTGCTCCCTCTCCCACGTCGAGCCCAGGACTTTCGTTAACTCCAAAGCCAGGCTGAACCTCTATCCTTAAAAACTGATGAGGACAGCCCGTCTGGTGAACAACACTCGAGCAAACCAGTCGGTAAGTGAGAAGAATGCTGCAAATCGGCTTGTGTCACGGAGGGATAGCACGTGACGGTCGGTTTAAGAAACAATGATGAAAACTTGCGCTAGAATATTTCTAGGGCCACAGTCTACGGTAGCGTTGTAGTACTATCCCAAACGTATGTCGTTTTACCTCCGATGTCCGTTCTGTTCACTATCCTTCGCAAAGCAGTTTTAGGAAACGCCGTAGCGATTGTAATAGAGATAATGAGAAAACGTGGCCACTTAAAGTCTAAGGTCAGCGGAGTTGGACGTTATCCAAAGCGGCTTCGAGTTGTGGATAAGAGGAAGACAATTTAGATAATTAACTACGAACAACTGGTCCCTGATGATCGGTAGCGATGTCCGAAAACGTGACGGGTTTGGGCATAATGAACGATCTTTGTAGAAAGCATCGTGACGCTTGCGAATCCGGCCCACTACCCAAGAAGACGAGGTCGTTATCATCCCTGTTATCGTGAAGGTAGTATTAGTCTGTGCAAATACCGCCGGGGGGGGGGGGCACTTCCGCGAAAAAAGATCAAGCGATACTGGGATGACACTTCAACCTAAATCTCAATAATCTCATCCATAAAAAATTGGTTGATCCTCAAGTGGGAAAACGTCTCCGAGAAAAGAAACTAATCAGTAAGATTTATTTTTGAAAATGTATTAGGATCTGTTGTCACCACAGGCATCCACGATGTAATGATTTGGACGGGCAGGATTCCACGGTGGATACTGATGTGCTATTACTACCATTTGACCACTTTAGATACAAGAAAAAAGAACAGTAGTCGGTTGAATTTTGTGCCGATAAAGCCCGATCAATCACAGTGAGCGTGAACGCCAGATGCATAAGCAGCTAGTGTAATCAGCAGGATGGAGAAACTTTGCATGCGCACAAAGCGTATCAAGGATGTGATCAAACTCAAACGTGAGTCGGATGAAATGAATACCAATCAATACCCAGGCTGGGATGATCAATTCAAATTATGAGTAACGAAAACCGTCGCCAACTTGAGAAACCTATGGGTCCTTGGCGAAATCGGGCTGTCTGCGAACGGTCTAGTGGGTGCTGAAGCAGTTTGTTTGGCTAATTTCGCTATAGGGTGTGGAAACTTGACGATTATGGGAACAAGACTGTCGATGTTCAAACACCAGTCTAGTGAGCAAACCAGACAAGCAATATTGACATCAGGTCTTGGATAACCCCGGTAGCCCAATGGGGCAGGTGGTCAATCACCACAGATTACATTGGTTGAGGTATGTCACCAACTAGATTGCGACGGCGCGCGTTGTTTGCCGGAGCAGGTGATTAGTGGAAAAATTAAAGAGCGATCAAACAAAGAACTGGCGCGAGGGTGTGGAAATGCTGACCCGGAAAATTGCTCACATAGGCCGCGTTAGGCTTCCTGGATGAGAACCTCGGGATCATCGTACCCGATGCTTAGACACATTGAGTGATATGGCCGAGTGTCATAAACAATGGAACTTGTGCGTTTACTCAAAGTCCCTGCAACCGTAATCTTTATGAATCCTCTAGTTTCACTCTGACATTGATTTGAACGTTCCAGTCTTCTCTTTATTATCTCAGCCAGATGGACAGAAACTAGACAACAGCCAAGACTGGTGCACGGCTACTGGTTGTAAAACTGGAAACTCAATTGACTAGTTTACTGACTAATTTTGAAATCTGCTACATCCTGTTTCTCGATGAGGATGCCTTTCATGAAAGTTTCGTTTACAAATGTCGATTGTGAATTCGCGGTTTTCTGGCAACCTAGTTATACAACAGAAAAATGTTTCAAACGGATAAAGAGTTGACAGACCACTGTTTGATTGTAGAGCACTTGTAGCAAGCAGCAACATTATTACTATGTAATAGTTTGATTAACTAGATGTTATCCGTGAGGATCCACAAAACTTACGTGAACGGGGCCAAAGAAGATAAATATCTAAACGGAGAAAAAACGGGAAGACCAGTGTTTTACGCGAATCACGGGATAAAATACATGAGTGTAACTAGATTATCAACAGATCCCTTCTCTATGTGTCTGAATTGAATTGAGAATGAAGCAAATTTAGTTGTTTTTGATTAGATCAGTTCAGGCCTTATGGTTCCAACTCAACGTATTGTCAACAGACACGCCGTGTTTCGTTTTTAATACTTTGTAGGTGCGGTCAAGTAATCAACAGCAGAATCTGACGTCACCAGACCCACATATACAGGAGGAAGCTAACGCAAAGATGATCAACAACAACGGGAAATACAACAATGTAGTCATACAAACCAATTTCGTCGCTGGAAATTTTCAAAATTAAATTAAGTGATGTCAATACACGTGGTCAGATCTTCAGTGAGCAATCCTACTAGCCCTCAATCAGAACAGACAGGATAACATTCTATTTTGACTGAAAATCGACCGGAACTGATAGTTAGACGATGATTTGAGTTTGTGTACTCCATCGATCAAAAAGGAAAGTACCAAGAGAACATGCACGCATAAAACAGGAAATTACAGGACAGACGAACGTACCGAGTACAAGTAATAGTCAAACATCTGACGAACACAATTCATCACTTCACCCGCAATCGGTTGCAGCAAGTTTATCATTTGTAAATATCGACCTGTTCAACAAAGGAGTGAGGGAAGGGTGTGTGTGCGTGTGAATATGAAGAGGACAAGGTGAATGTGAGCCAAACGCATTGTGTGAATTCTATTGCGAATTACATCATCTTTATAACCCTAAGAGAAGGGGAATTTCACAATATGCACAAAGTCGGTAAGAGGTAACCGGGGATTGAACCAGTTTTCAACGAAGGAAACAAACATGAACCTCCGTGGTTAGGACGTGCAAAGTGTAGAGCACGACTGTGCATACATCGTCATCATCATCATTGTACAGCGTAACACAGTGAAGCGAATTTCACTGATCGCGATTACAAGGTTAGTGAGAATATGTAAGGAGGCTAGGGATTGAACTTAATTTTAGGGACTGAAAAAGAAAGCGAATCTCTATGGTCAACACACAGAGTACATAGTCCAACTGTGCATACATACAATTCCAAAACTTCTGGTCTGATAAGAAGTGACAGCATGATCGCCATGGCTGTATGTTCGCAGTCATGACCTTCGGTGTCTCCAACCATGCGGTTTCGGAGTCTTGTGAACTCCATTCCGGAAGACAAGATATACCCAATTTACCTAATCGCTCTGTGTATTTATTTCTTTACGTCTGGTTTCCATGTAGCTTATTCAGCCTGCAACAGCTGCGATTGGCGACCGTCGGACATATGCAAAACGTGTCCTAACCAACGGAGCCGATTGACCAGAATTCGATGCATTCCCAAACGCCCGACGACTTACTTCTAAGTTACTAACCTCCCCACTCCATCCCACTTGAGCCAGACTACGTAAGCACCGATTGTCGAAAACCACTAGACGACGGATGTCTTCTACCCGCAAATTCAAGGTCTCACAACCGTCAAGCAGAACTTATCGTACATTGACGCAGTATACGCGACTTTTCAACTTCGATGAAACATCACGTCGTCCCTGTGCAAACACACCCTTTTCAAGAATTCTAACCCGATGAGAACACCACTATTGTCGGTTAGCTCCCCGATCTTGCAGCGTTTCCGAGATACCAATTCCCCAACGGGGAGGGGGGAAATCTATCCTGTTTAATCACGGAGTGCACTTTTTCATACCTCGTCTCCCAGTCATCAGTGGGCGTTCACATGATTAACTTCACCATGAAAGCAGCACTGATGAGCGGGTGTAACGAGTGAGCATCAACTTGAACGGGCAGTAATGTTTTCGAATCCTATGCATGCATAAAGATATGAAGGGGCTAGCTTCAGCTTTGGTTTTGGTTGGTGCAGTCCGTCCTCCAGGTTGAGATCCATGGGATGAAGATTATCGTTGGTTAGAGACGCTAAGAGATATGGACCCGAATAGAAGTCGGTGGTGCGAATGCTGTACGGTCTGCCTGTTGAAATCCAGTAATTCATAAAGTAAACAATAAACTAATAAAAACAGTAAAAGGTGTACGGTGAAACAAAGAAAAAACGTCATTCTTGCTACTCAAACCCCCTTTGTTCATGTTGTTGTGTTGGTGCCATGTTTGTTAACAATCCGATGTTTAATATATATTCAAGTTGTAAAAGTTTCCAACCGAGTCATAACCCCGGAGACTAGTGCTGAGATAAGTGAGGTGCAATGTCCACAACAAGCTCGCAAAGATGGGTTGTGCTACATCCCGTAAATGGAAAACGGTCTGACCAGTTACCTGGCGGCCGAGTGGGTACAATGCTTGCGTTCTGCCTATGAGGTCCAGGGTTTGACCCCCAGTTGGGTCGATGGAAAAGCACTGATAATGAGACCCCACCAGGTCGATTTAATAATAAACAATTTAGGTGATCTATTATACTATCGCACATATCGGCAGTTCACGAGGAAACAGCTTCACCCCTTTAGCATTTTTGAAATAACTATTTCTATTCTCATGTTCAATACATAATAAGCATTTGTGTGCACCTGAGTTATAGCGAAGGGTTTCGCTCAAATACGAAGGCTTATCAAGTTGCTTTTCGATTCAATGAAAATATAGCATCACGAAAACCAAGGATATATGCACATAGGTCATTCCGAACTAAACGTCTATGCCATAATCTGTGTGAAACTGGAACGACAATGCAGTCCATATTATAAACCCACGAGTGCTCCCGTTTCGTATAACTCAGAGTAAGAAACCCTCATGTCCCGGTACACCTTACCGGTAAGAAAAGCATTAATGTTTCCTATCGGATTCAAGTAGAACATACAAGCAGAAATCAATATTGCTTTGATGGGGCGAAAAAAGTGTTGTTCTGCAAAATACTTATTGAGGACTGACCTCCGAAAGCCTCAGTATGGTCGGGGTGGGTGTTTTGGATTGTGACTGGTCACCATTCCCTTACACCTCGAGAAATGCTCCCACATGACCAAGAGTGTCAAATAGCCTCTGCTGAGGAAGCCCTACTCACTGTCTTCCCCGTGGTAGAGGTGTGTTCCTATCAAAGTGAGAGGACGAAAAGCCAACATCTGAGGTCATAACCGGTGAACCATTGGCAGTTTATCTAGGGGAGTTGGCTAAAACCCCTGATTCGAAACCAACCGAGAAGAGGGATACGAACCATGAAATTTATCCCCTTATTAGTTTGATTCCCGTCAGCAGTAATTCCACAAAAACAAACAAAAGCGTCAGCTCTCCAAAAATGAATGTGTTTCTGTTCGTGGATCGTGAGGATCATTCATATTCTGTTTCTTATATTGCATCCGTTTAAAGTGTTACCACTGAAACATTCAACTCGAGTGCTATTTTTATCTTCAACTTCTCGCTCCGCTCCGTTTGAAGTCATACATGCAAATCGACACCTGCGTTTATCCGACGTCTATATCTTGAAATCATAGTAGTAGTAGTTTTGCCTCATCTCTCCTGTACGTACCACAGTCGACCTGGACTTATCGCGACGTCGAATATGCTACAATGGTGGATTGTGTACTTCCGAATATCCGTAAGCCTCTTTCGCTGGTGCCGTAGTGGATAAGGCTTTGTGCTGAATCGTTTGGACAATGGTTATTAACATTTTGCTCATTGAAGCACTTTTGACCACTCACCACAAACCACCACTTTACAAGCTGCAGAAGTCACATGTGAGATTACGTATTCCTCGCTTTTTCTAATCAGCACAGACAGATCGTTTTCGAAGAGACTGACGGATACTAAGGGCTTACTGGTCAAGTCTGAAACTCATTAATATGCATAGTAGCGCTGTAAATTTTGCGATTCGGAAAAACCTCTTTCCGATCGATCTAGATGAAGGCACCTGGTAAATTCGATTTCATCTTCAATCAAATAGCCTTATTGAAACTATATTCCATGGGTTTGTCAGTTAAACTAGATGATATTCTTCGAAATACATCTGATCAACAGGCCTCAATCAGTGAATCAGTTGGTTGGTTAATTGCAAATCGCATAACACAACGCCCAGGCAACTTACCAATCAGACGTAGAACCTCCAGAGTTGTGTTGGACAGTAGTGGACTCTTTTGATGACTGGTTAGAGTTTCGCCGGTAGACTGAAAGGGGATTGCGAAACGGGACCGATGAGAATTCCGTAAACATGGAGGATAACTGTGAAGCGTTGCATGTATTACTTAGGCGATTTAGCGCGAATTCTCACCGTGTTTAAAAGCCAAAGATTGCCAAAACCCGGTTACATCAAAAAATACCGCCAGGCTATTACGCAACACCGAGTTCGAAAACTGAAAAATAACAGAGAGGCGTCTCGAAGCGTAAATCGCGTACATATGTAGAAAAAATCGAGATATGGATACACTGGGGAGATGAGATTACCGTGTACTCCCGGCGGATAAAAGTTCCGGGTTTCCGAAGTGGTCACTATTTTCAGCTCGTGAACAACAAAAAGCGCTCCGGATCTCTGTGATGAGGAAATAAGTGGTTTTCAGTATGACTAAGTGACGCGTAAATTTTGAGGGAAATCCGGTTCTATCTAACAAAAATTAATCAACCAATTGCACACAGAGATAATCAGAAAAGAAACAATCCGAGATTCGTGAATGAGAGTTGAATATAACGTTATGGGCAAGCAAAATCAGCGATGGGTTCGAGCCCTTCCAAGGTCACTCGACTGTATACCGCCTTAGCTAGTTCACATGGGTGCTTCTCCCTTCAGCTTCGGAAGCTCAGACAATTTCGCACTACCCAATAGATTTTGTTCTTCTTTGTTAACCAATGCGTTCTCCCAATTTTACTTTATTGCTCCCCTGTAGTGTTTCCCGGTCTATTGAAACAGGACTTTAAGGCTATCCTTCATAGAATGACGGTAATAAGCCGGGCATCTTTAATTTCTGCCGAATCATTAGTCACGGAACTTTTTATTGATCATATGAGGTCTCGTATAACCTTTGCCAATAAGATTCTAAAAGACCCCTCCCATCCTTTGCATTTCGATTTATCTTCTTGTCGGTATCTACCCTCTCGAATAAACATTTAGAAGAACTCCACTGTAGCGTATCTGGTCGGAATCTTGACCAACAAGGAACGAGTTATAAATCAGTTACGTCAATTTTTACTTGAATGAATCAAACTTTGAAGACTCCTAAATAGCACTCTACTGGATTTGTATATATTTCTATATTTTCTCCGATTTGACGAACAGTGTTTAATTTTTTAACTGAAACGTAGGCATAATAAGCTTGCGGAAGTTATACAAATAGAAAATGGGTGGGATCGGCAATTCCCATAACGAAATAGTACGTG